GTCTGGTCGGACGTCCGATTGGACAGGGGTTAAAAATCGAAAACCGAAAAAAAAATATATATATATTTTTTTACGAAAAACAAAACTTTTTTTTCCGGACGACGGGGGTACCGGACGTATGGGGGAGACGTCCGGGGGAGACGACCGGCCCCCGGACCATTGGTAAAATTTAATTTATTGAGCTGTTCTTATTTTATTTTATTTTATTTATTTATTTATTTATTTATTTATTTATTTATTTATTTATTTATTTATTTAATGTGTGTGGGGGGGGGGCGGGAGGGGGGGGAAGGGCTACCCCTTCCCCAACAATCAATCAATCAATAAATAAAAAAAAAAAAGTAAAAGAAAAAAACAGCGGATTCGACCCGCTCGCGTGCGCGTTCACGCGCGTTTGTGTGTATGTGTGCAGGGGGGAAGGGCGGCCTCGTCCCCACCAATCAATCAACAAAACAGTGGGTTCGACTCGAGCGTGCGTGTGTGTGTGTGTGTGTGTGTCGGGGGGGAGGGCGACCCCTCCCCCGCAAATCAATCAATTAATCAATCAATCAATCAACAAACCAACCAATCACTCAATCAATTAATTAAAAAAAATAAATCAACCAATCAATTAATCAACCAATGAACCAACCAATCAATCAATTAATCAATCAATCAAATTGAATCAATCAATTAAAAAAAAAAAAGGTAAGAACCCCCGACTATTTAGACCCCCCCCGGTTTTTTTTTTGTTTTTTTTTTCTATGGGGGGGTGGGGCCCGGGTCCCGCCACCGGAATCCCGACCCTGATTGGCAGGACCCCCCTCCCATCGGCCGCAGCGAGGTGATATCTGACGCAACCGCGGTGGTCATGACCGCGACCCCGTGGCCCTGACCATGGGCCGAGGTCATGCCCGGCATGATCGAAGCCGTAGGGGATACATAGATGAACTATACACGCGTTACGCGAGCAATGGGACCTTCCATGACAATGCGACTTTCAAATCGATAAATGATAAGGTCGGTTGGACAAGGGAGAAACTGATGGCGTTCAATGGTTCTCATGAAGCCGCACATATTTGTTTTTTGATCCAACCGGCCTCGTTGTCCGTCATCACTGTCATCTGCATGTAAGATGTTGACAAAATAGCGATGGACGGTTGAAAGTCGCAGTTGGGAGTCGCTCCGGTGTGAACGATCTAAGGTAACAATTTATCTGTGGTCCTCCCCGCGTCAACAAAGGGCTGAGGAACAAAGAGAACAGATGATGAAATGATTTTTTTTGTAGAATTTCAACTTATTCCAATTGAGATCCAAGCTACATTTGTGCAAGACTTCGCAGAAAAATACGACGTGGCCGATTTCATAGACCCTCTACCACTGCACGTAGCAAGGAGGGACAATTATCTTATGCTGGTCATAAACCTCACTGAACACCAAATTTTCACGATCGACGATATTATATTACACTGCATAGGGGGAGGCTGTACCGCATTCACACAACCCACTAACTTCGACCTCGGCGCTTCAAGTGTCAGGCTTACGGACACCTGTACACCAATACGGATTGTCCCCGTCACCCGTCCCTCACAGTAAAACCCACCAGGCACCTAAGGAGGGACCCCTTCGAAAAATCACGATGGCATACGGTCAACCCATGGGTGTGCATAGATCTACCAGAGGGGAGTGGTGGGAATGTGGCAGGATGGATTTGGGAAGGGCAGGGGGAACCAATGCTATTTACCAAGGCCCCGATTGCATGGACCCTCGCAACAAGCAATGGACACCGGTTTGTAGGAAAGGGGCTGGCAAGGAACGACGGTGGAGAGGGGACACACTGGTCCTGGAGGAGGGGGGGAACCGTTTCGCCCCGATGGCAGCACCACAGGGGAAAGAAGGTGGCTTGTTTGACTAAAACCGGGGGGGGAAACCTAAGGGACCCACAGGTCTATGTGAAAAACAATCCATTGAATCCAAGTTGATCATACTCACAGAGTAAGTCTTAACAGCGTAATCACACCACACGTAACACAATGCTAGAATGATACAATAGAGAACACAATCGGCGTTACATTCGTTCATTGCACAACCCAGGAACCACCAATCCTTCCGCAAACCATGGTCTATAATTGCGGTAAACCGCAATGGACCGTCAACCAAAAGAGGACTACTACAATACCAAACACTTGCTTAAGTACTACGTGGTTGGCCCATTTGTCACTGGGCAATCGCAGTCTAGTTGGACAACTATTTCTCCGGTCGAACCTTCCAGAAAAACACGTTGTGCCAAACGCAATGAGTACTTTTAGCAATCGGCCGATTGAAACTGGTCAATAATCGTGCCTAAGGCCGTAATGTCACTCATACCGAGCCAAAATCCAAAACCAAAACAAACAACAGGGCCTGGGTTCGAAGGGTCCCAACAAAAACAAAAACAAAAAACAAAAAGCCAAAATCCAAATCCAAAGGTCCGGGCTCAAGGGGCCATCAGTCGCTGTACAGAACCATCATCGAGGAAAAAAGAATAAAAAAACCCTATAGAAACATGAACGCACAAAAAAAACCCTGTTACTACTTCGTCGGCGTTCAACCATTGCGGATAGAGGTACTACGGCAAGTCCCTTAACGCCGCAACAAAACCGACTGAGGATTATTCCAAACAGCTATCATCGGCTTACCAAATCTACTGCCACTACTTCATCGGAGTTCAGCCACTGAGGATTATTCCAAACAACTATCCTCCGCTTACCAAATCGACTGTCGGTTTCCAGTGGGCATCCCGCCCATGGGCAAAACGTTTCAGGACACGAAGAAAAAAGTCCACAGGACAGTCCTTCAACCGTGATTCCCTTTTTAAGGATATAACTCTCCTTGGAATTTCGTATCTTGCTGATGTGTTACGGTCGATACGGTGCACGTGGCTAGCTAAGACAACACTTTTCTGCATTTTGCTTCCCCACGACATGTATGTTGACCATTGAAAAAAGTCAATCGTTCGTCCTTCCACGACAACTCCTCATTCTTAGAGACTTGCACACATTCCACGAAGGGAAAATGGCGATTGAGCCGGACCTCACACCCCATAAATTCCCAAGAACTTGTTCCATCATCCGTTCTTTTTAGCGTGAGATTATCGGGATAACAACTTGAAAATCCCGAAAATATGTCGGCCACATTCGCGGCTTCCAGGTGCCCTGCAGCAATGAGCAGGCTCACATCATCAATCAAACGAACTCCAAACACTGAACAATGCTGTTTCCCCAGGCTGTGGAGAAATATATACTCGGAGCGTGCGCACATGATGCACGCGAGAGGGGGAGACGTGCTCTTCCCCATGGGTGTTCTACTGAAGCAGGATCCCTAAAGCGTAAGTGTAAGCGTGAGTAAGCTCGAATCTCATGAATTTGCGGACCTCCTCGAAAGCGACCTTCCTCCAGTGGTCATAGCCGGTCGTCACCCCAAAACTGGCACCCTTTCCCCTGGTATTTACTCGAACGAAAGTCCTCCTTTTTCCGGTCTGAAAATCCAAAAGCCAGTCCACAGCTTCCAAGATATCGTCATGTGGTAAGAGGCTGAACATGTCCTTAATATAAAAGGACCGTGCAACCACACTTGGGTCACAACTTGCGAGACCCAACCTCTTATTAATCCGTTCAAGTCTCTTTTTCAGCATCGAGACCGCTTTGAGGTGCCAATCCAGGGGGAAGCGGTCTAGAAGATAATTAAGGGCTTTAGCAACCGCTTTGCTTGTTAGTGTGGTCAGTTAAGAATAAGAAGGGCAGATGGGGCGAAAACGCTCCAGATCCTTATGTTTAGGCATGGCGAAAGCCTGACAAATTGAGCCTTTCCCATTCCATTTTGCAAAGTCCAACATACCTTCCGCTCTCAATGTCGATCTCATCTCCTCCAAGACAAAACTCTCGCTCTTCATGATAGGCACATAACCAACATTACGCACAAAGTGCCACAAACAAGGTCATCATCCCTTCGTAATACAAGAAAGGACACATCACCAGAGTCTCTCCGGGGTTACGGTCTAGGGGGATAAGCACCATACCACTGAAAATCCTCCTCACCTTAGCAACTTCACACAAATCCAAGAATCTTTCATCCTGCGTCCCAACATCCATCATGCAACGGGTCAATTCCACTGGGGAGCAACAAACAGTTTAGCCCTTCGCATTAGCCCAATTGGAGAAGCCTTCGCTAATTTCCTAGCCCAATTTCCTCTCTCTATCCCGATGATTGACCTTCAGGATATTATTATTGTTCATTCACGTAACCGGACGCGCACGTGGCCTCGCACCCTTGGGTACGGCAAACCTGCGCAGGCGCAGGGTAACACATCCAATCGAGCAAACGCTCGATGGTTGTGAATCAAATCCGCAACACTTGGATTACGTATCTAAATGATGCGGAGCGATCTTTGCGCAGGACGGGTTACACAAGGTGGAAAAGTCAACTAACCTAACTTATCGTTCACCAATTTACGTACTTCGACCAACTTAATCCGATCGTCAAAAACCAGACGAAATACAATACGAGCAGAGAAATTGAAACCAAAACCCTCCTTCACACATCGACCAATTAGGCGTCCTAAATATGTGCGCGTGCTCTTCCTATCGAAATCCTTGACCGTATTAAACAAGCTAGATAGTGAATCCAGGTCTCATCTTCGGAGCATATCGAGACGTTTGGGGTTACGCAGGAGTGAAACCAGAAACGGTTTATTAACGCTCCTTCGCGCCCTCCAACGTCTCAGATATAGAAACACAATGGACCCCTCGGCTTCAAATGCTCTTTTGAACTCCCTCAGATAACCAGTCTTACCTTAATGCGTGACGCGCGACGAACCAAAGGCCTTCCGTATCCCATTCCATCGAACACACCAGGTGCTTCCTCCTTCAGTATACAAAGAGAAAGCACGCCGTCCATTCTTATCCTGTCTATGCAGAACCTGGAAAACATCGACCGACCATGCATCCTCCGCGTTCACCCGTACTCGAATCAGATTTATGGTCCGATTGTTATCCCCTTTGTTCCTCCCCAATTTAGCCCGTCTAGCCCGTTCCCTCTTACCATGCGGTCCACCTGTACTAGGATTAGGGCTTTTACCTGCCGTGTTCAAAAATGGTGACCATTAACGAATGAATACGGACTCAACAGGGACCAGATCAGCGGGTTCTACGATTTCTACAGGTAACAGGCAGTAAGATTCCATACCAAAACATCTCCACCAACGATACAAGAGCATGTTCTTCACATTCCGCTTACAAACGGACACATGTTCTCTCCATCCGGTCAATGGTGAACGAGACGTTTGACCAACGTACTGAGACTTGCATCGGATCGAGGTGACTACATACACACAGTTCGGCTGTGTAAGGAAATCCAGACCAAAACGTAAATACATTTTAACCCAGGAATCAACACATTTCATGAGCCATCGAAAACGACCACGCAAAGCGAGCAGTAGGGTTAAAAGACAATAGATCAGATCCAGGGCTTCGTCCGCTGTGTGTCTAAACGAAATGATGACCTCGGTCACAACAACCCATTGATGCGTAGTGAGCCCAGTTCAGATGTGTGCTCCTTCGTCGGTCACCTCCTGACCTCACAGTGCGCCCCTTCCTCCGAACTCTCAAACGTTCCAAATTCTGGTAGCTGTTCGCCGAAACGTAACTGAGCGCGCCGATCAGCAAGGTCAAAGATGGCTTGCACCTTCGTAGTATAGTTCACTCCCTCTTCGCGGCAGAAAGCCCGCAGTGTGTCATAGTCCAACTTCGATAGCTCCCTCTGAGAGCTATCGAGGAACAACATTAGTTCCATCATCGAGTCTTTGGCTGTCGGTTTCATGGCGGTGAGCGCTTTGGTGGCAGCTCCTTTCGTCGGTCGTCTGACCGCGATCTTAGTGCTCATTCGTTGCAAACATTCGGAAAGGCGCACAGGACGAATGCTCATTTGTTTACTTATGCGCTTAGCTGGCGTTGTCACTGGTGGGCTGCAGCCCACTGGTGTATCCTCCCCACGCTTACGCTTCTCCTGTATCGACAGATTCCCGGCACCCTCAGTGATGGCCTCCACGTCGTTGGACGTTCCAGATGTTGACGGAAAGTCTTCAATAGCAATCACCTTATCTTTCCCCTTGGCGGTCACTGCCGTCTTCGTTTGACTTTTCTCCACTGAACTCGATAACGCCTTACAAACTTCAGCTCTAATCTCCTCCCTGATGTCTCGGAGCCTCACCAAGAGTTGGACTTCGACCACCTTCGCCATGGCAAGCTGCTCCTCCTCGCGTTTCCGTAATTTCTCTGCTTTGCGAAAAGCCCGCTCGGCCTCGGCTACCCTGGCTGCCATCTCGACAAATTCTTGGACAGATGCGACCGTCCTGCCAATTTCATCAAGGCGAACATCTGCAGCAAGTTCAACCGCCGTCGGCTGCTGTGTTCGATCTCGTGGTGGCGATGTAGTACCAGCCCTCCGATTAAACTCGGCTCGGCAGGCATACCCGTCCGCTTCCATTTGACGCCGAGCCACCGGGTCAGTCCAGTACCTCCAACAGTCGGTACGATAATGACCGACCACTCTGCATCCATAGCATGTCGGTGGGCCCGGGCGTGGAGGGTCTTCCCTCCGGTCATCACGACTGTTGCTCCTCGAGCCACCGTGTCACTCGCGGCTATCCTCTCTATTATCACGGCGCCCACGTTCCGGCGAGTGGGGTTGTCTCCCCTCTCTGCTCCCATCCCGATTAACGTTCCCCGGCCATGCTGGCAAGGGGACTTCGTGTCGTCTTCACAGGTAAACACGTCGCCAAGAGTAGACAAAGAACCGAAAATCGTGCTCACTCACTCCCAGTTAGAAGACTCCAGGAAGGTTCACACGAGCATCGAAAGGTCTATGTGAAAAACAATCCAAGTTGATCATACTCACAGAGTAAGTCTTAACAGAGCAATCACACCACACGTAACACAATGCTAGATTGATACAATAGAGAACACAATCGGCGTTACATTCATTCATTCCACAACCCAGGAACCACCATTCCTTCCTCAAACCACGGTCTATTGTGGTAAACCGCAATGGACCGTCCATCAAAAGAGGACTACTACAATACCAAACACTTGCTTAAGTACTACGTGGTTGGTGCTATTGTCACTGGGCATCTCCGGTCGAACCTTCCAGAAAAAAACGCCGTGCCAAACGCAATGAGTACTTTTAGCAATTGGCCGATCGAAACTGGTCAACAATCATGCCTAAGGCCGTAGTGTCACTCATATCGAGCCAAAATCCAAAACCAAAACAAACAACAGGGCCTGGGCTCGAAGGGCCCCAACAAAAACAAAAACAAAAAACAAAAAGCCAAAATCCAAATCCAAAGGCCCGGGCTCAAGGGGCCATCAGTCGCTCTACAGAACCATCCTCGAGGAAAAAAGAATAAAAAAAGCCTATAAAACATGACCCGCAGGACAATTGAATGAGAGAACAAGAGGGGGAAGGAAAATCAACCAACAAGGGGAGTTGTACAAGATACAGTCCAGGTCGAACACAACACAGGGAGGGTCATTGAGGGTCTGGGAGGGCAAAGGGGGGGGCAGAGGCCCACCCAAGGGCAGGTGGTGCAGAGGGGCAAGGAGACCGTCGAGAAGCAGGCAATGGAGGGGGACTCGCGTGAGAGACAAAAGGGGCAGGTCAGCGGTGCGATCGAAAATAAGGAAATCGGGCCGGTGAAGGATCGGGATGACGTACCGAACAAGGAGAAGGAAATACAGGCTGGCCATGGCTGGGTGGGAAACCAGATGATCGAAGCAGGGGAGCGAAAGGAACAGGGCCCCAGGAGGGAACATCAGCAGGGGAGGAAAGGAAGGAGTCAGTAGAAATGCAGACGCAGCAAGCGCAAGGACCCCTGCAGGATGAAAAAGGAAAAGAGCCAGATTTTTTCTCAGAAGCCTTTCGGGCCCAACCGATGGAAGTTGGCCCATAGTCCCCCCCTCCCCCTGATGAGATCATGGTCGAGAATGACCATGACCCGGACGCACCACCACGTGAAATGGGTATGGACCAAAAAATTTAAATAATCAAAGAATGGATCATTCAACAATTAAGGGGGGCAGGAGTACTGGGACACATCTTACATTGAACGCGTCACGATGCTGAACAACAGTCCGACGTTGAGAATTTGTGTGACAACGGGGCCCCTAACCCATCTGACGTGGGCAAAGGTGTTTAAACACATTTTGTACATTACCCGAGATCGTTTTCACCCCCCTCCCCCCCACTCGACACCACACAGCAAAGAACACCACGACTCGGGGATGGGGCATCAGGAAGGTAAGAGCATGATCGACCCACTAGAGGAGGGACTGGTCTCGCACAGAATGAAGCTGCAACAACTCGTCGAATGTGGGCGCTTTGAACTCCCCCTCTCCAAAAAAGAAGGTGTGCTGGTCATCCCACGAAGAAAGGAGGATGGAGTATGGGAGGTTGGGCTCTCCTCAGTGGGAGACAAAGGGGGGGTGACATTGCAGGGATTGGAATTCCCGGGCTAGATAGAGGACGGGAAGGAACGGGACAGGTGGTTCACCAAACAGCCTGAGGCGGGTGAGCTCACCCCGAAATATTTTGCACTGGATGTAAAAGGGCCAATGAGGATGGAAGGGTCCAGACATCAGATGGCACGAAAAGATCTGTTCCTCTTGTTTGAGACCCACAAGGCAACAAATTTGTGAGAGCCTAAGGGTCAAAGCCAGTAACATCTGTTCTGATGAGGACGTGTGTAAGTGTCTGTGCAACATCCTCCGCAAAAAAGTCCTCTCCTTAGATAGATGGGACCTAAAGAAGTGACAACCATTGCACATAAAACAACATGCAGGACATAGAAACGCTATACTGTAGGAATCCAACTTGGCAAAAATGTGTACGTTTGACAGATCTGAGATCTGGACCTGCGCGCACTCAATGTGAATGGTCTTGCTACCTACAACCCAGAAAACACCATGCCATTTGGGATCAGCTAAAGGGGGTGGGAGGAAGGCATTGGCCTGATGTGATCTGTGTCCAGGAACCCACCTACATGATCGCCCCCAACACCACAGAGTCGGAAGGATGGTCTGGTCTCACCAGGCCGTGTGGGCCCACGCCCCTAGGCCGGGATCAGCGGGAGTGGCGGTATGGATACCCCCCGAGTCAAGGTTTCAGGTAGTGCACTGGACAGCGGACGGAAATGAGGGGCGGCAGGTATCGGTGTTTGGGATGCTTGAGCTTGAACTGCACTGCATCCTCTGCATTTACTCCCCCAATACAGTGGGGAAGAGGAGGGCCTTCCTAGAAGATCTCAGGACCTGAGTACCGGATGGGATGGCATTTTGCGGCGGAAGAGGACGAGCGGATGGTAGCAGAAGTGTGTGATTCCCGATCCCTATTCGACATTTTTGGACGACTCCACCCTGCCGATCGCACTTTCACATGCGTAAGGGACAATTACTCGAGGAGACTCTCCAAATCCCGCATTGACCTAATCCTACTTTCCAACAACCTGGAAGGTGCATTGCATTAGGGTGGTATTCTTCCTCGCAGCCCATATCCGGGACTGGATCACAAGACCTGCGGGATAATCCTGACAACATGCAAAAGGCCTGATCAGGGCCCAGACTTCTACAAGCTCAATACATCACTTCTAAAAGACCGACAATTCGATCAACTGATCCGCGACATGTGGCAATTCTGGCGCCAACAAAAAATACATTTTGACTCACAATCAGGGTTGTCGAGCCCCGGCCCCGGGGCCCCAGCGGGGATCCGGGGGTGGGCACCCCCAACCCCGGCTCCGGACAACCCCCCCCCCCAAAACAAAAAAAAT